GTCCCGCCAGTTGGTCCTAACTGTCAGGGCCGACGACAAAACTGAGAGGGACAGTCTCACTAAATCCTCAACCCATCGGTTCCTTCAAACTGCTCTGGTACTCCATTGTCACCGACCACTGACCTCGATCCTTAAATCTGCGAGGTAAAATTCCGCCATCGTGACCAATAATGCTAGGCCCAAGGCTGAGACTTACACTCAACGATTTGCGCATAAAGGGGTACCGTTGCATATGCGTGTCTGTTAAAACGCCCCGAAGCCACTGTTTGACCTACTGATCCGCTGTACACGCCACGTCTTACTCAAAGTCGCGCGTTTACCCTTTCAATGATGAAAATTTCAAGCTTTATCTATAATAATTTCCGTTTACGTCCGTCTTTGTTCAAACTGCGAAATAATTCCTATTGGGGGATATGAATTCTCTTTTTTTTTTACGGAGTTTTTGACAAAATCTCATGCCGTGTGCTTCACGGCTCCAAAATCCCTTCGAATATAAATCAAAGTAGCTTCCTAAAAAATATGCGGCATTGGTAGCTAAGCCCGATGCCGGTTGCGACAAAAGATGCCTCTGCGCGCGTGCACTCGCCACAAGCAGACATGTCAACCAAAAGAAAAGGACCGTTTAATCATAATTTAATCAAAAATAAAAATTTAACAAAAAAAATATCGATTTGTAATACCAAAAAGAAAAAATTATACTTGCCTCAAAACTACGCGCCCATACGCTCCTTATTTTTCCTCTGAACACATATTTGGTTACAAAAAAATAAAAATTGACCATGGATCTTGCGGCGTACCCAACTTTCGCTCCCAAGTTTTAAATCAAAACTTTTTTTTTGTTATTTGCAAAAATTAAGGCAGATACCCTTGTAAGGGTATTCACACCGACAACGCCATCTTTCGAGGTTTCCTTAGGGTCCGATTCACTCTGTGTAGATTGACTGGACGCAGAAGGACGAGCGACTCGACTCGACTGACTTCTAGACGTATTAGATCTAGCATACGAAAATGGAAAGCGTAAACATATAACGTAACATTCGACCTACGTGTTGTCGTCCTAAAAAACGTCGCATATAATATTATATCATCGTTTTTTAGGATTGTCAGAGGCACGAACGAAGAAAGTGTTGGTGAGCCTTTGCCCTATTGATTTTGACAAAATCAACAATTTTGGGAATCAACGATTTTGGGAATCAACAATTATGATACAGTCTGAACTTTCAGGCGACTTGAAGATCAAGTGTCTTTCTTGAGATGTAATCAACACTACATTCCCATAATGAAAACGGAGTTTCTTTTGCATGTTTGAAAAACTGTCTTTTTATGTAATTTAAACCACCAGTACCACCGAGCCCGTTTTTGCCGACCCTGAATTTCACTGCGCTCCGAGTTTGCCGAGCTTGGGTCCCACTCCATTTCTTAATGGTACTCTCACGGGGAGGGAAAAAAAAAAGAAAAAATAATAAAAAAATTGCGGCCGAGAAAACTTACAAAAAAAAAAAACGAAACAATATTTTGGTCGCGATTGCAACTGTATACATTATCGGAAGTGTTAGTGTGAGTGTGCCCTCAGTAAGGTCATCTCGGCCCTGTAGCCAGGTTGTGAGATTCCATAAACTAAAAAAAAAAAAAAAATCAGAAACACGTATTCGGCCGTGAAAATGACAAGATACATTCTCGTAAGTGTCAGTGTGGTCAGGGTTACAATCCTCTGAGGGAACACAACTTGAGAAGATCACAAATTCAGATTGTCAAATTCCAGAAAAACAAAACAAGAAAAAAAAAAACGAAAACACGAATTCTGTCTTGAAAACGGCTGGATACATTACGATTACAATCATCTGAGGAAACATAGCTAGAGCAGATTACGGATTTCGCCCTGCCTCGTTGGCAGGTGACACATAACAAACAAAAAAGAAAAAGAAAAAACAACAATAACAAGTTTCAGAATGTGACCATCTTTGTTGTAAGACGCATTAAAGACTGTGAGCACGACCTCCTAGACTACCCTGCCTGACATCATTGCAGTACAAAGACCTTTTTTTTTTTCCTTTTCCTTTCGTGCATGGGCAAAATAAAATTACAATTTTTTGGATATTGCCGACCCTGTGTCCGACCCCCGAAAACTTCGAGTACTAGCCAGGACAACGTAATTTCCCAACACTGGCGGAGGTACCTGTGGTTTAAGGAAATTTTATTTCTTTTTTTTTAACAAAAAGATCAATATTCAATCTATGACCGTTTTTTATTTTATTTTTTTTGGTCAAATATTCTTACCATAAAAAATCGTTAGAGTAGGCACACACTCTTTTTGTTGGTCTGGGCCTCACTACCACAAGTAAAATAATGAGCGTGTTTGGGCCTCAACTCCTTGCACCATTTCGTTTCTAAAGTGGGAGCGGTGACAAAAAATGACATGATGTATTTCCACCGGTCCTCAGTCCAACAACTTCTCCAGCTGCCCCTTCCGAAGTACTTGCCTAAGATGCACCCCTTCACACGATTCCACCCCACAGAGGATAGCTTCGTCGAAGGATGAAAAAAACACCCGTGGGTGTATAACTCATCCCCTACATGGTGCAAACTGAGCCTCTTTCTTGGGCTGTTTGGGCAAACCCCAAGTGACTAATGTAATGGTTGTGCCTCTCCTAGCAGGCCTCTCACGCTGTGCTCCCTATGCCCTGTGGTTATCCAACTATCCTTGGATTCATTTCTCCTTGGGTCTGTTTCTAGGTGAGCATGCGGCCTTGCCCTTCCAGATTTTTTTTTTTTTTTTTTAAGGCTAATTAAGCCCAACCAATTCAAGTACCTGTCAAATCTGGACAGGACGGCCTTTTAGGCCTTTTTTGTTGTCATTATAGTACTACGGGGAACCCCGTAGCAGCCACATCCGTGCTCAAGCCTCCAACGAGGGAACATGCGGGAGCTGCACCCACCAGGTGCGATACCTGCTACAGCAGGTGGGCGATACCGGCCAGGGGTCAGCCGATAGCATAAAGACTGAGCTTCTTCGATGGACCAGTCACTGTGCCTCCCCTCCGGTCCCCTCCCCCTATGAACATCAGCAGTCTCGGCTCAATGCCACTCGGGGGCACCAACGACATATCTCTAGGTGGCGGGCACCAAGCTTACCCAGGAAGGTTCATGAGGCCAATGGGGATTGAACCCAAGACCTCTTGAATGCCACTTGCGTGCCTTACCAACTGAGCTAGACCGCTGGATCCTTCCAGGAGGTCGGAATGTTCGCAGCCCCTCAGGGTTGCGTTTTCCCCCCTGAGACATTTGAACGTGAATCAAATTTCAACGTCGGTGGTCATCAGGAGGGTGGGCATTTTGAGGTTTTAGGGCCTTGCAAGGGCCAGGACCGTGTAGGACCGGTAGCTGCCTGTAGGCGGCCGAGGAGGCCGCGGTCTTTAAGCCTTTTTCGAAAATTGAAACGGTGTGGGTGCACTTTTCTCAAATAGCAGATTTCCTCGAGTAGAAAACGTACACGTTGTATTCGAAAACGTGTACCCTTTCTATCCGGATTTCGAAAAGAAAAAACTTTTGTATTCCAATAAAATTACTACTTTTTTTTTTGAGGTCAGCGCCTGCCCTTGTGCTCCCCGCCACTGACATGCTGCATGCTGCAGGTCTCTCTCTCTCTCTCT